ACTTAATTTATGTATAATTTTATTTTAAATAAATGTTTTTTTATTGTAAGTAATATTTATAAAAATAATTCGTTAGTACTATTTAAACAAATATTTAACAAAATTCAGTAAATTTTTTTTCAGTGTATGCAAATTTTTAGACATTTTAGCAAAATCGTTCTTTTTGTGTAGCAATAAATTATACACTCAAAAAAGTGATCTTGGAGTTATAGCGAAAATTATCTAAGTACGAAAAATAACTAAAATAGATAAATTTCTAACAAGTACTACGATATTGGATATGTATTGCACCTAATCATATAGATGACAGAGATAGAATTTAGATTTGTGTTATAAATTCTATGCGTATGATACATAATTTTCTATCAGATACAAAAAATAGCTATAATTCTAGCTGGAGCAGCAAAATATTTTTTTGCGTGTATTTATATAAAAATTTTAAGAATTATATATAGAGCCGTAATAATTATGTTTCTCGCTAATATTTTTTCTTCCTTCGAATAAAATGCAGCTGATCGAGAAGGGAAAGAAGTACGATAATAAAATCAGCAGTCGTTCGCTTTTAACGGGACGTTCTTAACAGGATAGATGAGTTGCAAAATGAAAGCAGCGTGACCGCGATGGATGAATCGCGTTCTTTAACGCAGCGAGATGCAATAATAGCGTAGCGCAAGTAGTGTAGATTGGATGCGAAATCAGTCGTCCCTGCGAATTTCGCTTTCGCGATCGTCCGAGAGTGAATTACGCGTTAAATTCTTGCGTGAACGCGTGCGACCGCGCGCATCGGGCGCACGGCACGCTACGTCGCGCCGCGCCGCGCCGCGCCGCGCAGCGTCGGGGAGAGTTTTCCGCGATGTCGGCCACGTCAGGCCGTATACAACCCTCAGCCAGTAGCTAAATATATATGAATATAAAATGCGCGGGGCCGGAGCATGCGTGCTCGAGGTCTACCTCAGGGACACGGCCTCGTCGAAACACTCCACGACACGCCATAGACAAGACAACCCTTCGGGCGTAAGAGAATTGAAGGAGCAATCCAATCATAAGTCGCGAACCGCTTTTCCGCCTTTCGTCCGAAGATCTCAAAAGCTCTACTAATTAGTAATTAGTTCACGCAAAAGAAATTAAAATTGTATAATTTCTGCCGACAGGCAGAAATCTGAAACATCACGGCAGCGTACTAATAATAAGTACAATTTTAGAGAAATTTATTTTCTTCGCTTATGACATTATTATGTTAGAAATATAATTGTATATAGTATATATATAGTATGTAATAATGTATGATTTTATTATATGTATCTAAACTTGGCCACGTTGGAACCGAAACAATTCGTCGAAACGTGACGCGACGAAAACACTTCAACATCTGATATAACACGACGCGACGTTGGAATTCGAAAAATTGTGTAGTAAGAATATGAGGTCATGTATTTTGCCGCCAATATCACTGTATTTTGCGCTCGATGCGAAAGGCGAATTTCGAACACGAAAAGAACGGTTTTCCTGAAGTATATAAAAATTAGGTCAGATGCAGATCCGAAAATAACTGTTGGACCACCAAAATAATTATGTAGAATGCTAAAGCATGATAGTATTGCAAAGGTTTTAATATTTCAGTAATCAACTTGAGCGTTCAATATAAAGTTACATGCAGCAAAATTTATTTTCTTTTTTTATTGCTAGTTAAAAAAAATGCTTGTATGTCCTATTTATATTATTCGATACATATTGTTTCAAAGATTATTCCTCGTTCTGTTTATTAAAATTAAAATTATTTCTTATTGTTTTATTATTGTTAAAAATTGTACTTTATTGCTGTTTAAAATTATTCTTTAATCTCGTTTTTTAAATGTTAATTACCTTTTATTCTTACTAAATTTATTTTAATCTCAATGTCATATTATATTATATATATAGGGTAACTCCGGCAAATACGCCGCGCTGGGATTTACGCCGCAGAAGTCAGAAAAAATAGAAGGAGTGGGGGTAATTTTCCCGTAACTACTCTGTTACATGCCTTTATGTTATATTAGTATTGTGTTATGATTTCAGCTTCTTACTGTTAATATTAATGAATTTATTGTGAGTTGAATCGATTTGTCACTGTAATAAGTAACGCCATCATAAGTTATAATCTACATAAAATGATTAATGTAGGACGTGTAAAAGACTTAGTGGTTATTTCGTGATACATACGTGTAGTGGAATAGTAAAGCATGTTTGTATTATTAAGCATGTTTGCATTATTTGTAAATTTTTCATGAGCCGTACATACCCCCTTTCCCCCTATGAGTAGCCATATATCCCACCCCTATGAGATATGCGGCAAAAATACAAGGTTTCAAAAAGTTTATTTTTTAATATGAAAAATAAATATTTCGGATTTCTAATATTTTTTTCATAGTAGTAGACAGTACAAAGTTTTTACTGATATAGTTCGTTTACTATAAACATAGTAAATAATACTTAATAAATTAAGTTTTTGATAGGTGCGGCGTATATACCGGAGTTACCCTATATATAATTGAAATTTCCGTCACGCTACGTTTCGACAACACGGATTATTTGGTTCCAACATTGCCAAGTTTAAATCCATGGAATAAAATAATATACTATATATATATTATAATTATGTTTTTAACATAATAGTGTTAAAAGCAAAAAAAGGAAACCACGTCAAAATTGATGTAGTTTCAAAAACATGAATTATATCTCGCCGGGCGAACAACAAGTAAAGGTAAAAATAACTCGTTCATTATCTTCGTGCTAGTTCAAACAATCGTCGACGTTTGAACAGCATTTGCTCGATTTTAGCTTCTAGAATGAAACAATACGCTTCCCGAGACAAGATACAAGTTCGTACGCACATATCTAGCCCGATTTTGTCCCGCTTTGTCATGGAAGGGCAGCCCGCCAGACGATATAAACGGATATTTGTGTCACAGATTGATCGCGGCATCATTAACCGATCATGCGACGGGTAATAAAACTCGCGTACGGGGACGCGCGGTGAGATATGTGTCAAGTGTTACCCTTGAGCACTCGGTTATTGAATATTATATTAGCTACGTTAGAGGATCTGCTCCATATTCTACGCCTCAATAGTCTCAATTACTGTCTATAACTAACGTGGCCGGATCCAACCGCGTACGGACAGAGACCGTCAAGGTATCGTGATGATGCGTTTTATCAAGTTTTCGCAAATTTCCGTGAGTTTCGCGTCTCGGAAAAACATCACGCGCACGCAAACAAACATTGAAACAAATCACGGTTATTACTCTTCACAAAGATTTATCTTCTAGGAAACAATCGAAGTTCAGAGTAGTAAACATGTTTATGAATCTTATAACATATAAATAAATGCAATTAACTAAGGTGAAATATAAAAACAGTACTATGCAATCTAATATTTCGATAATGATGTTCACGTTGAATCTCGTTGTATCTTATCTATCGCATTTTTGGCACACAGAGTAATATGTTGTTTGTTAAAAACTGAAATGGTTTTCCCTCTGACCGAAATTTAATGGGTGCAAACGTTATTGAAAGTTCGCCTGAATAAATTAATCAAAAAAGTTATAGAAAATTCGATTGGACGCACACTACACTGAAAGAAAAGATTGGCTGCTGTAGCAATTTAAATGGTAAAATATGACATAGGATTTTTAATTGGCTGCAGCAACTAATTTTTGGTTGGAGTCAATTTTTTGTTGTGTTAGCCGCAATGTCAATATACGATTTCGATAGGCTAACGCAACCAAAAATTGACTGCAGCCAATTAAAAATGCTGTGCCATATTCAGTCGACCTTTTCTTTCAGTGTAGTGCACACAGTGTATATTAAAGCCGTTATACTTATTTAATCTGAACGTAAAAGTAAAATTCAAATATTTCGAATTGTAATATAATATTCTGCTTAATAGTATAATAAAGTGCATTACTAAATAGAACACAAAACCACATAATTAGGTCAAGATAATATCAAATCATTTTAGAGGAAATCATGATTTTTCAATACACTTTTAATGATAATTTTGTGACGAATTCTTGACATAATGATATTTGAGTAATGTTAAAAATAATTTTTCCTGAAGTGACTCCTACTTGACTTCTTGATCTTTTATGTTCTACCTGAATTAAGGATTTTGCGGTTTAATTTAAACACCGTTTATATTTAAAAACATATTTTTACTGCATCAGTGTACGCGCACTGAGTTCAATTAAATTTGCTATTAGATTTCCTCATCTATTGCGTTTCTTATAGACGTAAAACTCTCGAGTTATAGACTGTGCATTCCTTAATCTTAAGCATTTGTGTTCTATTAGAAAAAAAATTGAATATTGAATATCGTATTAACGTCTCTCTTTAACTCGATACTTGAGAAAGAGAGAGCGCGATATGATTCATCATTCAAGTTACCTCTCTCTGTCTAAACCGATAATATCAATTTCATAGGAATGCAGTTTATTCTTATTGCGTCTATGACGAAATTCCAAGACGCAATTCGCATTAAAATATCTTTTTTTTTTTTTAAATCGGACCTCATAGGCCTCGATCTCTTTAAAAAGAAATTCTTTTCGACGAGCGTTTACAGGCGTGTACGCGAACCCGTTGCGAAACGCCCTGTATCTTTGGTCGAGAAATCTCTCGAGTTTCGTAACCTCGATCGCGCACGGATCGGCGTGTGACAGGTGTACGTGTGCCGCACCAACACCTGGCCACCGTCGATGTATTTCGGAACGAATTGCTGCCAGTGGCTGCGTTTACACCGTGCATTTAGGCCGCGGCCTATACAATAGACGTCATTGTTTATCCTGTATATTAAACAAAGACACCTATCGTATAGGTCGCGGACTAAGCGCACGGTGTAAACGTAGCCATTGAAGCGAGATTTCGACCGGTCTCCGTGTCGCATCGATACGCGCACGCGAGCGCGTGCACACAAACACGCAGTACGCACGCCTGCAACCAAATAGTAGTAGTCGTAAGCATGTACCTATTGCATACGTGTGTTCCTCTCTCGGCATATGCACATCGGCGCCACCCGTCGGAACGCGACGAGGAACCTTTTTTCGCGGAGTTTTTCGTCGCTCCCAAGACGCGCAGTATCGCTCGCGACTTGCCCTTGATAGCAGATTGTCTGTGCGTGTGAAAGAATTCCGCGAGAGAGAGAGAGGGAAAGAGAGAGGGAGAGAGAGAGAGAGAGAAGGAACCGCGTGTGCGTAATCACATATAATTCGTAAATTATAACCGACAGTTCCGCGGCAATGGCGATGACGAAGTTGAGTCTGGCGCCGAAGACCATCAAGTATTTGATGTTCATTTTCAACCTGTTCTTTGTGGTAAGTAGGCGGTCGACAATCACCGATGTCTCGCGTTCCTTCTGGATGGAACGATGAGCTGGCATGGACCCCGCGCGATTGATTGCGCTGCGATCTATCGAATCGTCGTATCGACGCACCTCAGCGCGATCGTTGGAAGCTGCGATTACGATCGACGGGCTGTTCATTTGGAACCTAACTGAAGCCTGATAAAAGCATAACTTACACAAAAATGTTATTTGTGAAACTGTAAAGCGAATATTAAATATTTCATCGAAATTTTTGTTATTTTTATCACGCGTGCAAATTGAAATTGGAAAGTTAACATGCTAAAAGCTAAAAGCTTTTTATCCATTCTTTTTCAAAACTATGTAAAAAGGGACAAAGTCGAATTTCAGCAAATTAATTTAGTTAAATTTTAATTCTATTTTATCTTATCTAAAATTTGTGACTCTCAATAAACGCATGTTTACAATAAGATGTTTTAATTAATTAAATTAATTATTTGATCATAACTATTTTAGTTAATTATTTAATGTTCGTTTCTACATATGCATCTCGTGGACGTCAAAATTCAATATATAATCACATTGAAGTGCGCACATTGTTCACGTGGTTTAGCAGAATCCAGTTTTAAAGATATGCGCAACGCGTTTTCAAATCGCATTTTCCGTAAATATTTATTAAAATAGCAGAAACGTGAAATTGAAACGTGGAATTTAATTCGAATGTCATTTTACGCGTCGTGCAATTATTGAGTTATCTTGAACGGATATTTCAGTTTAGTAATTGGGTAGATAAATATTGTCCATTGAAACTCACAGCAAATCAAGTCTCGTTTGTAATCTGAGTGGAAAAACAACATTTACATTGCAATATGATTACAGAAGATCGTTGTGATACGATCATAGAACGCGTTTAGAGAATGCATTGAGTAATCGGTTTTTGTGGAAATTGGATGTAATTGATAGATTTAAAAGATAGATATCAATTTACGAACAATGTAACAATCGCTGTATTCTGATATACGCTGCCAGTACACTGAAAATCTATAGTTCACGTTACATATACTATAAATTTTCAATATATCGGAATACAATTAATGTCAGTAACAGCATAATTGTCATAAAAATTTCCTTTCATTATTTAATATGATATATGATATATAATTATTATTGTCTTATATATATTAATGGTTATATAATATATTATATGTTAATTAATGATATTTTTTATATCGATGATTATATGTGCATGCACTGAGAAAAAATTATTATAAATTTAAATAAATATTTATTAAAATAATTCCAAACATTTATTTACAATAAATAAATATTTATTTCATAAAAAGGAATTATTGTTAAATCAAATTAATGTTTTTTGTACCAAATAAATCTTTATATTTAATATATATTTAATTGACTATTTATAGAAATAACTTATTAAAATTTAGTTTTTTTTCTTACTCACTACTACTAAAATTAAATTTAATCGCAAGTTCTTGATGAAAATGGAGGATATTTCGTATATACAATTTTTTGTGTTCAAATATGTAAGTGCGCGTGTGTGTTGAAAGCCTGATGTAAAATTAAATTAATTAGACGTTTATTGGTTAATTATTCATCAACTGGACTAGCATATACATTGGAGAAGACCATGAATAGATGAATCATTGTGAGATAAATCTTACAAAAAAATTTGACCTAAAAAATATATCCGAGGGGGAATCCCTTTTATCGCACAATATCTATCTTCTCTATTTTCTCGTACACACCGTAACGTCGAAATTGAAAGACTACCTTTAATGCGATCGATACGGATGAGAACGATTACACTATAACGAATATTAATTTTATGTGCTATGCACTGAAAGAAAAGGTTGGCTGCTGCAGCAAATTAGATGGTAAAATATGGCATAGCATTTTTAATTGACTGCAACAGTCAATTTTTGGTTGCGTTAGCTAATCGAAATCCTATACTGACATTGCGGATAAGTTAACACAACCAAAAATTGGCTGCAGCAACCAAAAATTGGCAGTTGTAGCCAATTAAAAATGCTATGCCATATTTTACCATCTAATTTGCTGTAGCAGCCAATCTTTTTTTTCAATGTGGAATGAGGCAAGAATAAAAAACTTTTTTAATTTCGGTAATCTATAACTAACTTATGTTAATCAAACCGTTCATGTTTAATATTAAGCAATAAGCATCACGATTCAAATAATTTTATTATTAGAAGTAAATTCGTATCTGGAAATATATTATTTATACATATGCGTAGAAACCATAGTTCGAATAAGATAGACAGTTCAATGTTTTTTTCAGAATAATCAAAATGCACTCTGCGTTATCGGTTTTATAAATAGATCCGCTATTAATGTTCTTATACCGCACGCGTGTTAATATCTTATGAAATTTTATTTGGATTAATATTTCTTTATGATTATAGTTTTGGAATAATTGTTGGTTTTATTGATTATGTAATATCACAAGAGTATTGCAGAATTATTAACGTTTATAGAATATTAAATTGCTAGTATTATTAATATAATTAATTAAAATGTGTTATTTTAACGTTTCTTCATTAAAGTGTATGGGTGTATCTAATATATAAATAGTTACATACGGATATTATTTAAGATAAAGAAAAAAAAATTCGCTGCGGACAGGATTCGAACCTGTGCGGGTAGAACCCAATGGATTTCAAGTCCATCTCCTTAACCGCTCGGACACCGCAGCTGTTGGCAACTCGCTGTTATTTGTACCATACACTGTACGCAGCTGTGAAACTCGAAAATGTTGACGTCATCAAAGAAATAAATTTGCGTATCTTTTTTAAATATATTAGTATGCTAATTACATACCACATTAATTAGATAATTACACCGTTTACGCAATATTGCTTACCATCACGAAATCGTTATGTAATCGTCGATTTTTTAACGCGATCGACTCCATTGCGAATTGCATTTTCGATCCTTTTATCCATGGAAATATATGAATCGATGAATTATGTTTAGATTACAGGAATAGTGTTGCTATCCATCGGTGCGGTTATCCATGGAGTGTACCATCAATATCAACATTTCCTTGACAACAATTTCTTCTCCGTACCTTCTCTTCTCGTAGCCGTGGGCTCCATTATTTTTATCATCGCTTTCTTCGGATGCTGCGGAGCCGTTCGTGAAAGTTATTGCATGATTATAACGGTAAGCCGAATATGTACTCATATATATATATATATATAAATTGAACAATATTATTTTTTTATTAAATATACACACTTCGATTAAGTTTTTTCTTCATAAATAAATTAATGATTCATTTTTTGTCCACGCAATAAATTGCACTCTTATTAATTTATTGCTTTATGATTTAAAAATCGCATATATACTTCAGAATCTTTTTCAATAAAGATGTCTAATCGTTGCATCATATGCAATTAGATCGTTTGTTACTGCGACAGAGTTATAGTATGCATTTAATTAGCAAATAATAATTAACTGGCTAAATCAATAGTAATAAGCTACCCAATAATCAAACTGTCTATACCGGCAAACTAGAAGTAAATTTGAGGAATTGTTAGTAAATTGGCACTAACTGTGTTTGCATTAAGCTTGAGTTTTACCGATAAAGCCTGTAGATATAATCTGACAGTTGATTGACAGAAACCAAATAGAATCTGTCAGACACAGATTCTGCTGCTTCTATTCTAATATGTCGCTAATCTGCGTCAAACTGTACAAGTATGACAACGACTATTGAATTTCTGTTATTAATCTGCCATATTTTATGGCAATATTCGTGCTAGCATTCTGCCAACGGTATTGTACACATCAGATCCTATATCAAATCTTTATATAGAAAGAACGTTTTTGCTGGGTCTACGTCTAAAAGTTAGAGGTAGATCTGAAAATAATTTTATTGGACTATTAAAATAATTATGTAGGATACTCAAGCTGGTTGCCAGAATGTCAAAACTTCTTGCAACATCACTTGACATGCTTGAGTTTCCTACATAATTATTTTGATGGTCCAATAAAATTATTAGGTGTACAAGTACGATTTTACGGGTTATTTTTTGATAAAAAAAAAACGCATTGATTAGACATAACATAAAAATCATTCTTACTTTATTCAAAGTATGTCGCATTGGAAACCACAACCTTGGCTGGCCCATCTTTCAGGCAATAAACGGATTCCACGCTGGTAGAAGTCTGGATGTTTTGAAGCGATCCAGTTATCAAGCCAATTTTTGATTTTTTCATAAGAGGCTTTCCATGCTCCTTATCATCCAAATCAAAATCATTACATCTGAATCAGTTAAACCATTTTTCACACATGTTTACCAATGGAGCATGTTCTTTGTAAGCTTCCACAAGCAAACGATGACTTTCAGTTGCACTTTTCTTTAGAAAAAAATAATGAAGTATAACTTCTCGCAAATGACGTTTTTCCGGTACAAAATTTGATATTTTCAATGCGATAAAAATAATAGTTGTTTACACTTTAGTCAAATGAAATGTACTATGTTTTAAAGCTGCGTATACACCTTTTAAGTATTGCCAGCTTCAAATAATATTAGCAGTATGACTGTAAGTATACTACCATCTATTGAAAATCCGTAAAGTCATACTTGTACTTCTAATATTTTCAAATCTGTAGCCATCAAAATTTCAACAAAATCGTTCTTTCCGAGTAGTCTTTTTATTCGTCATAAATTTTGCAGAATCTATTTTCGACGGACTTGGCTGTCTGGGAATCTATCGCAGACGCATTGCGCCTTGTCTTTTCTACGTACATGCCTTTTACAATCGTGAGGAACCATCTGTTTCACAATCGTAAATGATTTACGTCTCGTTCGATCGACCTGGCGAAGCTCGCCAGGTGATTACGCTTCCGATTGAGAGCGCGCCACCGACGAGGATCAATCGCGACGTACTGCGAGTAATAAAGCGGACCATTATCGTGACTCGAGAACATTCACGATGTGTATTTTCAACGTTGCTCTATTCGAATTAATTCGAGATTAGGATCTCGATATAGAGCGTCGGGTTTTCGACCGACCTATTGCATACGAAACGTATACGAAACAAAAAGCTCGGCCAAGTCTGTCCATCTACGATATCGTCTCCCCCTCGTTTCCATAACGTAATGGATCATATGTTTTGTGCACGAAGTATGTAATTGACATGTGTGTGTCCTCCCCGTTCCACCTACATCGGCCCTTATTCCGGGAAAATTACTCTCCCTCGCACGCAGACGAGGGCGGACACGCTTCCGGCGTTGCTTTAAAAAATTGACGCACGGTGAGACTATATAATAAATATTTCAAAAGCTTCGAGATTAAATTCTGTCATTTCCTAGATATATTTTAAAAAATATATCAGGATACATTTTTCAGTCAACATCTGATACCAAAATTGATTTCTGAATATCCATAATTATATACACTGAGAAAAATGTCTGGTTAAAAAGAAATGAACCAGAAGATTCTGATTGTATCAATCAGATTAGTAGATTTAACAAAAAAATTCTGATTTGTCTATTTTTAACCAGAATTCCAATTAATCTAAGATTAGAATCTAAAAGACATTTTTCTCAGTGTACGGAAAATAATCTGTCGAGAAATAATTTGAATTTTTTTAACAATACTTTCTTTGATCATTTACAGTTCTGCACACTTCTGGCTGCGATTTTCTTGCTGGAGATCATAGGCGGCATAATGGGATATGTGATGAGGGCACAGGTTGCGTCGATCGCTCAGCATAAGATGCTCGACACGATGCCCCAATACAACAATAGCCACGAGATCCAATTCGTCTGGGACAATCTACAACGAGACGTAACGCACAATTATATACAATTATCGTATTTATACGTGCGACTGCGTTATATCCTCGAAATAGTGGACCACGAATGGTTTTGTTTTTTTTTTCTCTTTTTCAACGATGGCTTTGTTTGAAGTTTCTCGCGCTTCGCATCGTGTCTTTCCCAGTCGTGGGAGCGACCCGGTCGTCGCGAGGATATCGCGGACGACAGGCGACAGGGATAATTTCAGTGCCCGGCTCTAATTCCTCGCGTGTATAATATATGTGTATGTGGTAGCTGGCGTGCACGCCACGAAGGGGTAGCGTACATCGATTTTTCCCCAGCTTCCTTGACCACTCTTAACGATCTACGAAAAATGTATGCACATATATTATATATTATATTCATAAATCATATATTTATTATATAATAATATATATATTATGTATTATATATATTATGTATTATATGTGAATACCATGTATATACATGTATGCGTATATACACACACACACACACACACACACACACGGAGTGTTTCATCTTTTACATAGAAATATTTCAAAAAATATGAAAGTTTAGTACTATTTAAAGAAATATGTATTAAGATCAGTATCTTTTTTTTAGTGTAAACAATTATATTTGTATAATATATTATTAATTATAAGTAATTTAGTTATTATATAATGAATATAGATATCAATATAGATACATACAGGATACGTGTATATTATGTCAATATATATTATGTATACGAGCGTACCATGAAATATTAAATATGCACGAAATCTTTTACAACTTTACATCTTTATATTTGCGTGATGTAGATACATGTTTCAGCATGTTAACCGAAATTCGTTCTTTTTTTGCAGTTTCATTGCTGTGGTACGATCAATGCCACCGACTGGTTGACGAATACAACGAATCTGTCAGGTATTCCGATGTCGTGCTGTGATGATACGATAGGTGCTATCGGCACGTCGAATTGCACCCTATCATCGAAGAGTCTGCATGGGGTGGGCTGCATACACGCCTTCGCGAAATTCGCAGAGACACACGCGGCCAAGATAGCAGGTGTTGGAATAGGCCTTGGTGTAATTCAGGTATCTTCATCAGCATTATGTTAGATTTTTCTAACTTTACCTCATAGCGTTTCGTAGTCCGATAAACGAGTAATATTCACGTTTTATTAATACAAGAATGGAATAATTAATGTTGCAGCTGATAGGAATTCTCTTGTCGTCCTACTTGGCTAAATCGATCAAGAATTGTTACCATACTATGTAGAGTGCCATGCGAACATCAAACGCACCGGAAGCAGCCTTCATATAGATGATAGCCGAACAGGATTGCCATTAGGATGCGAAACTGCGTGTATTTGATCTGATATATTGATCTGATATATTGTACGAACACATTATTTGTTTTTGTATAAAAGGATGGTAAATTATTTTTGCTACATGCTATATTTCACATCGCGTTATAAAAAAGCGTGTGTATTTTTAATAAAACTTTTACATCGCTAAATGTTTTCGCGACAATGCGTTTAGTATTCTTGATTAAAATGCGTCGTTAATTAAATTCGCATTCTCTTATATTTACACAGGAATGAATTACACAGAATAAGCAATCACATATTTTACAAGAAAATCTCTTTTTATCTGCAATAAACTTTTTTCACATAAGCCTTTGCAAAACATGTAAATTTCTAACCAAAAAAAATTTGAGCATTGCGCGTGTCCGACAATCATCAAGCACGCACGTCACACTACACACGCACACACACGCGTACCGAGAGACATGAAATTAACTTAATTGTCACATGAGTCATTTTTGTCGCGTTGTTTTGCCCACGTGTAAACGTGGCAACGAACACGAGAACGAATGTCTCTTTCCACGTCCATTAACTTTAAAATTTTGTTTCGATATATTCGATCATATTAAATGTTATATTTTATATATATAATATATACGTCATTTATGTTCATGTATGTATTAAGAGATATATATAAGTATACATTATATATATATCTATTATACATATTTTTTTAAAAGTAGATGAGCATAAACGTGGCTCGATGTCCAATTAAAACATTCCATACAAATTCTGCTAAAAATATTGCATATACATATTCCCAGCAAATGCAAAGTTACATGTAACGTGTGTTATATTAATTATATTGTTAAATGGGAAATTACAACTAACAGGTACGTTACATATAACTTTTGTGTATATATTACTGGGTTATGAATATAACCGTGTCTTACACTCGTCCATGAATATAACAACCTATATATACCGAAAATATTCGAATATTCATTAATGCGTCGAATAATGCTACAGGTTTATCGCTTTGTCGTGTTTTTCTTCACGCTATCGCGACAACTTCCCTATTTCCTCCCACTCTTTCTCTCCTCTCTCTCTCTCTCTCTCTCTCTCTCTCTCTCTCTCTCTCTCTCTATGACTACGTTTACACCGTGCGCTTAGTCCGCGACCTATACGATAGGTGTCTTTGTTTAATATACAGGATAAACAAGGATGTCTATTGTATAGTCCGCGGCCTAAACGCACGGTGTAAACATAGCCTCTCTCTCTCTTTTTCTCTCTGTCTGTCTCTCTTTCTTCTCTTCGTCAGACTCCTTGTTCTAAACAAAAACCCAACGCTCTCATTGGTATCGCACAAAGCCGTTCCGTGCGCGATCGTGCGTTTTCGCGGCTCATTATCGGCCAGTAGATAACGCTGCAGACCGACGTTTCAACGTTGGCATTGGCAATCGGTGTGCTAACTGGAAGTGTCGAAGGTGCGCGATACCGCTCGCTGTGCATCTGCGCCCGGAGGAGCCAACGCGAGGCAAAATGGCGGCCACACATCTAGACGTCGGCCTCCGCTGCATCAAGTATCTGCTGTGCGCGGTCAACTCTCTCTTCGTGGTCTGTACTACAATACGAACGATGTTTATCGTCTCGCGGAATATACTCTCCGCCAAATTCATCTCGCTTCGCGATGCATTCTCGCGTTAATCAAAGAATAATCGCGCGAGAGAACC